GGAGGAAGAGAAATGAAGATGGGGCAGGGCCTGTGCACAGGTGAGCAGAGGCTGGGAAGACCAGAACACTGAGTGGACCCAGGAGGAAGGGAGTGAAGGCACGTTTTAGACTGAGTTTTGTTCTTCTGAATTCCTCCTGCCTTCCTAGGCTCTGCTGATCAACCTGCCATCTACCACGCCCCTCTTCACAATCCCTGTGCAGGTTGACTTCCTTTTTTACTTTTTTTTTTTTTAACCTCTCCTTCCTTTGTCGCCCAAACTCATGAGTCCAACATGTTCTGGCTAGGCCAAGCTTACTATCTCCCTACTCCCACCATGTTTTTCTGCTACCATTTCATCACCCACACTTGAAAACTGCAAGTTATTTTTGACTCTCTCTCTCTCTCCCTCCCCAGCCTCACCCCACACTCAGTTGCTTGCCAAATCCTTTTGGTGTTCCCTCAATCGGGAATTTCCTCCCTTCCCCCTTGCCACTTATATCTTATTTCCATTAAGGCTCAGCTCTAATGCCACCTTTTCTAGGTTGTGGAAGGCCCATTCACCCCCAGTTGGAATTAATTGTTTGTTGCCTTCCACATCACTTTCCTTTCTTAGAGTACTTATTGTTGTTAGTTGTTTCCAGGCCTATCCTCTCCACTAGATTAAAAGCTTTTGGAGGATGGAGGCTACATCTCAGTGATGTTTTATCCTCTGTGCTTAGCACATAGTAGGTACTCTGGAAAAGTTTATGGAATGAATATATTAATGAATATTCAGCACTTACCATGCCTGTCTTCCACGGACGCTTTCTTATGTTTTTGAAACTGTGGCCTGAAAGTTTGTTAAATATGTATGTATTGCTGAGGAAGCTGTTTTGGAACCAGCAGTATCCTGGCATGCTTTTAGAATCAGGTGACCTACAAGGAAGATATGCTATGGTATCTCAGGCCCCTTCTGGCCCTGAGATTCTGTGACCTTTTGATTTCACTTTAGAAAGTTTGTGTTGTTTGTGGGGCACAAGCCCCACAGAATTTAGGAACCTTGATGTACAAGTGTCTGTGTTAAGCCCTATCAGAAAATTGGTTGTTCAAAGTGATTTTTTTCATTTACTTGCAATTTTACAAAATAACCCTTAGAAATATAGTCAATCACTGGAAAGCATATTTTTAAAGATTTTATTTATTTATTTTTCCCCCCAAAGCCCCAGTAGATAGTTGTGTGTCACAGCTGCACATCCTTCTAGTTGCTGTATGTGGGACGCGGCCTCAGCATGGCCGGAGAAGCAGCGCGTTGGTGCGAGCCCGGGATCCGAACCCGGGTCGCCAGAGGTGGAGCGCGCTCACTTAACCACCAAGCCACGGGGCCGGCCCTGGAAAGCGTATTTTTAAAGTAAGACAGCAAAAATGGCAGAGTGAGCACCTCTGAAAATTTTATCCATAATAGCAATGAGAAAACTGGCAAAAATGGTCAGAATCAACTTTTTCAGAACTCTGGAAATTAACCAAAGGCTTGCGACAATCTGGGAAGTATTTATTCATGAAAACCAGCTGCATTTTGGTAAGAATAGTGAACTTTGTGGCGTTTTCACTTGCCCTCCGCATCCCTTGCAGTAGCCTTGAGAATCCACAGCCTACAATCACAGGAAAAGCCAGCAGTTTGGCAGCCACTGGAGGACACAGAATGGGGTGGGAGCTCCTATAAAGCCTCATTTCTAGAGAATTGTCATTATTTGATCTGTCTGGTGATTCCCCAGAAGACCCCACCTGCAAGACTCTATTTATTTGCCCTGACTTAGAGCTGCAGAAAGCCTTTCCCTGAGAGTTTTTGAAAACCATCAGAGAGAATCGATTAACTTCATGGCTGCCTAAGGCAGTAGATAACCAGAAAACTTAAAAGGAAAAGCTGAGGAATAACATGTCCACTGGGGCTTTGAAAAGTTCGGGCATATTCCTGGGGATCTAAAAGGCCATGTGCATGCTTAGGGCTGTGTGAATTCCCAGGAAAGACTTGAGAAGGCCCTAAGCTCCGACTTTGGCTGATCTTGAGCTCTGCACAAGCAGAAAGGGAAGACTAAGGCAGAGTTATCAACTGCCTGGCTGAGTGTTGCAGGCATGCCCCAACATGTACACAGAGCCCTTTGGCCAAGACTGGGAGACTTTTTTGGTTACAGGAGTTTAAGGAAATCTTTGTTCAATTATTAGCTGACCACTAAGCTAACCCAGCAGAGACTTCAGTGCAATAATTATTATTAAAGTAAAATGGACCAGGGTGAAGTTCCTTGTCCATCAGACCTTGTAGAAGCTGATTCTTGGTCTACCAAGCTACAGTATTTGTTGCTCTGCCTATATGGTCTTTATCTCTTTAAACAGGCTGAAAGGGAACTGATATGGGGCTGATGTTTGATTTGTTAATTTTAAGGCAAGACAAAAGTAGTTAATCCAAAAATTTTGTAAAAGGATTGCTGTTAGAAATGATTCTGTTGGAAATGCGATTTCACTTCTGCACCTCAACCACGTCCCGCATTGCTTCTTCATCTCTCTGAATTCTTGTGGAAGACCTATTCCTCTTTGCTTCCCAGACCCCTTTGTATACACTCTCCCCATGTTACTGCTCTTTGCTTCTGTTAATCTCATCTTCTGTTCTGGCTTTCATTTGTTTCATCCATGTAGCTTCGACTCGTGCTGGCTATGGCCTGACACACTGCATTCTGGGAGTCTATCTTCCAAGAGGAGAATCAGGAAGAATAGAGACTGTAATGAACTTCTTGCTGGCCGGAGAGGGGCTGAAGAACAAGAGGAAAATTCTTTGGCTACCATTTTGGTCAGAGCCATCCTAAATGAAGCAGCGTAGTTCTCACAGGCTTTAAGGGACTGTACTAATTTGACCAGATTGCGGGGCAATGACTCACTGAGACAGGGTTGGCAATAGAGAAATGTTTTTTTTCGGCCAGTACTAAAAAAAGACCCAAGGCTTATATGCATACATGCTGTACATTCATCCAATGCCACCTTTCCTCACCCCTAGTAGGGGAATGCCAGAGAGGCTGCCCCTTTCCCACACTCCTCTCAAGCTACTTGTTTTCTGACTTCTTTTTCTCGTCTACACTGGATGTTCATTTTAACCTGTGATTTACACCACCTCAGTCCACCACCTCCTGGAGATGGCCTGACCTGGGTGATCATTTTTAGCCTGGTATTTCCTGGGCATGGGCCAGGGGCTGAGGCCAGTGGCAGAAAGGCTCAGACGGCACAGGCTCCCTGGCAGATTCGGCAGTGATGAGTTTTCACTGGGGAACGAAATGGCTGTCTCATTTCTAACTTCTTTAGGTTTGAAATACTGCCGAGATTATAACCTTAATGATTAAAACATCTTGAGGAGAAAGGCTACCTAAATCGCTGAAAGATTGAACTTCTGTAATATGTTTCAGGAAAGGCAATATCCCTGGGTAACTGTTTCTAAAATTATAACTTCAAACAAATTATAAGTTCAATTTGTACAAGTTATCTAAATAGCTTCAACCTCCAACAAGTATTTTAAGCAGGTGAACCTGTTTTCATGATCAGATATGACTCATTTATATTTAGGAACATTTATTTCTATGAAAACAGCAAGCTCCTACCCTAGAAAAGAAAGCCAAAAGAACACAATCTGTCCTTTCAAGTGAGTTAAACATATCCCACAATGCCATTTTTACAGGAAACTATTCCCCTGGGGCTCTTAGGGACTGCTGTGGGAGAGTCCCTGCCGCTACTCGCTACTCGTAGCTGCACAAAAGGGCCCCTACTCTCTCTGAGCTCCCCTCTGCATAGGGGATGGGGAGCCTCCAAGAGTTGAGAGGAAGTGTGTGTTGGGTGTCTTAGTTTGAACTTGAAATATGGTTCTCATAGAAATGGCACCATAAACTATGAAATATACTTTTTTAAAATTTTATTTGTTTATTTATTTTTCCCCCAAAGCCCCAGTAGATAGTTGTATGTCATAGCTGCACATCCTTCTAGTTGCTGTATGTGGGATGCGGCCTCAGCATGGCCAGAGAAGGGTGCGTCGGTGTGCACCCGGGATCTGAACCCGGGCCGTCAGCAGTGGAGCACGCGTACTTAACCGCTAAGCCACAGGGCCGGCCCTGAAATATACTTTCAATTTGATTTTTCTTGTTACCAGTTAAAATAGGTTTTTGTGGGTTGGCTTGGAAACTTATTTATTACCTACAGTATTATTTCTCTCAGAAAATTACTTAAATGGAACTTTTGAGATAGGACCCCTTCATAAGTCATCTTGACTCTTTTAGCAGACCCTTCCTCCACAGGTGGTACAAAAGTGAATTTTAACTCATCCCACATTACATGGTCATAAGTTCTGAGAGTCTGGCCTGTGAACGTAAGAGATTTAATTATATTTTGTTTGGTTACTTTACCTTGAGAGATAACCATAGTCATTTGTGAATTCCAAAAACAAGTTATAATTATCGTCAACATCGAGATCCTTCTTTGCAGAAGTCATATGTGAGTAAAATGACAAATAAAAGTACCGTTAAAACATCTGGTCTTCCAGCTAAAATATTACATTTTCACAGTTGTATAATCTTTCCGGCTTGTCGTAGCCCCTTCCAAGCCACTGGCCACTGGAAATCTCACAAATTTCCCTGTGATGTGGGCAAGAGTTAGGTATACAAGTATTATTGTAGCACCTCGATACACTCACACTAGGAGAAGGTAGGCAAGTGGCCATTTATGAAGAAGACCCTATGAAAAAAGGTTTTGAAACAACTGTGACTGAATAATTATTCAGAGATGGTGCCAAATGGGACCAGAGAAGGGGAAGGTCAAAATAGGTGGTCAAGAGGAAATCCCTCTACTAAAGGATCTTGAGGCTTTGTGTCTTTGTTCCTCAAGGACAAGGATTTGCTTCCATTAGATTCAAGCCGATGGCCTTACACCTTCAGGACAAAGGTAATAATCAGTAAACCACAGGAGCAAGCCCCTCGATTACATTTTGTTTAAGTTTCTTTCCTTTTCTTTCAGTTTTATCCAAGTATGAAAACCAGATTACTATTTTCACTGACTACCTAGAAGAATTTCCGGATACTGATGAGCTGGTATGGATCTTGGGGAAACAGCATCTCCTTAAAACGGGTAAGGTTTGCTAGTGTTTGTCTGTGAAAACCTAAATGAACTGTGTGCCTGAGGTTAAGGTCCTGTCCTTTTTGCCTCCTTGAGTTGGCAGAGCGTTACCTTGATAACTGTCAATGCTACTCCTAGGTGGATTTACTTTACAGCCAAAGGAGTTTAAGCTTTGGGGCCCCTTGCTTGCACAGGTCCCTTCCAAGGCCCTGAAAAGCCCTAGCAGCGTGTTCATGTGGTCATAGGTATTTTTACAATTTGAAAAAGTTGTATATTTTTATTCTTTTCCTTAAAGGAGAATCCCTGCATTCTATAAGCCCCGAGATTTAAAAAACATGTACCCACTCCTACTATCACTAACCAGTATCTAGTCTTTGATGACTGGGCTACATTCTTCTCATTGCTCACATGTCCTTTTCTGTCTAGATTAAAAACACTGCCACCCAGGGGACTTCTAGACAGCCCATGGCTGTCAGAAACAATATCAGACACTGAGAAGTCTTATAGTTTTAGATCTTTTGCTGACTGAGGCACTCAGTTTATTCTGATTTTGTATAGAACTTTTAGCCACTGCAGCTAGATGGGAAGGAGGCTTGAATTTTTCTTCCATACCCCTACATTCTTATGGACTGGGAAAGACCTTTTAACCTGAAACTGCTAATGACCCAGCACCTGGATAAAGCCTGAGCTTGGAGAGAGGCAGCTCGGATTTTTGTATCTGTCTGAGGAGAGGCCCTCTTTGGAGGCCCTAGCATGGAGGGAGGGATGGGAAGAAGCTGATCAAAAGGCAGGAGAGGAAGTTAGCAGCTTCTAGCTCTTCCTGAGTCTGGCTTCATCATTTTGATTGGCGAATCCTGAACAGTGGAGAAAGCCCAGGGTAACAATGAGGAGACTTTCTGTATTCAGACTCTTCTCCTACCTTGGATAGGTCACTTTCTCTGTCTGGATCTTAACTCTCTTCACCAGTACTGAAATGAGGGAGACTGGAGATGATCTCTTCTAGTTCTGCATTCCATGACAACAGGAATCCCCAGGTTGCCAAATATACCCATATTCAAATGTTAAGTTGGGAAATGCCTTTCAAAATGAAATTAATGTTAAAATGTCCATACAACTTCCCCCAGCCTTTCATATAGGCAAACTGGAAGGTGTAGAGAATATCAGAGGAAGGAGTGAGTGGTGTGAGCATTTGAGAGGAGGGGTATATAATAACAGCTAACATTTATTGCAGGCTTACTGTGTACTGTACCGTCTAAGCACTTTCCATGTATTATCTTGTTGAATGCTTACAACTCTATGAAGTAGGTACTATTATTCTCCCCATTTTGCAGATGAGGAAACTGAAGGTCAGAGAGGTTAAGTGACAGGGCCACATAGTTGGTAAGTAGCAGAGTCAGGGTTCAAACCCAGGCAGAGTATGACTCCAGAAGTCTTAGTCGTAACCATTATACATCTGCTTCCCATCATGTGCTAGGCACTGGGGACATGAAGGGGAGGGAAAATCCAGACAGCTCAACTTTCTGATTTGTTCAAAGGAAAGGCAGGGGAGAAAATAGAAACTATTGGCTAAAATTGAATTTCCTTTTCTTCTTTTAAAGTGCAATGGTTATAAGTTCTATACAGAATACAAATATGGATGTGCTGTTGAGAAGGGGGAGAGATAAGACTAAGAGAGATAGAACCACATCTAGGTACAGATGGAAACATGGAAGCCACATTTGTGGCCATCGAAGTAAATTTATGTCATAAAATACAAGAAAGCATGCTGTGAAAAAAGATACAAAAGCATTTGTGATGTTATATATCCATTTAGATTACAAATGTTAGTTGCACTAGGTAGTATTGATAAATTTCTTGCACACTTAATTACTTGGTTGTGGCATCTCCTTTTTAGTTAAACATACATGTGTGCACACACACCCACCCCTAGTTTTTGATAACGGATAGTGGGTACAGATGATAGATCCAACCAACTGTCATTATTCAGGCAGGGGCTGATTGCCTCGTTAGTTGGTTATCCAGGGTCTTTGCTTTTCCTAGTCCTTGTCTTTTGGCAATGACCCCCGTGTTAGTACCTTCCAGGGCCGTGGAGCTCAGTGAGAAGGAGACAGGAACCATCCTAACCATCTCCTAACCATCCAGCATCATTGTACCAGCCAGTAGCTCTGGTCAAAACATGGGTTTGGGGAAATGCTGAAATTATTTGGCTAAAATGCGATTGGGTTTCCTATGAATTTCCCTAGGCCCATAACAATGGAATTGACTGGTTATCTGAAAATGAGTTTGCTGCTGGCTCAGAAATAAAGGCAGGTATCTTTAGATGGGATATAGTGATTTAATTATGATTTCCCATTTAATTACAGAAAAATCTAAGCTGTTGTCTGATATAAGTGCTCGTCTATGGTTTACATACAGAAGGAAATTTTCACCAATTGGTAAGTATATCATTTGTTGTACTGTCCTTTCTTCCTTGTAGATAGCTTGCCTGATGGTTAGCATGACTTCACAGAAACGTCAGAATTAACAGCTCACTATGGCAAAGAATTTGATTTAGGGGGGATAGTTAAGTCTTACAGTTTATCCAAAAGTTTCATTGCCGAAGTACCTCATCATGTATGGTTCCATGATATTAACGTGTAATGCCAATGTACTTTCGAGCCCACTTCTAAGTGTTCAGTCACCGGATAGTATTACTTCTTTTACTTCTGAGCTCAAGGCAAAAGTCAAATAAACTCTTCATTTGGGTAATATCTATTAAGTTACAATCCACTGCTTTGTGGAACTACTTGATTATTAAAGACAATTGTGCCTTGAAGGAAAGAAAATAATTCCTTTGATTTTTTTTCCCTATGAAATGAAAACATCTCACCACTGGGAGATAATTATGATAGATTTCCTTGGAAATCTATCTATCTATTCCAGGCTGTTAGAGTACCAGCTGCTGTCTAGAAAAAAAGGACATTTCAATAAGCTAAGTGAATAGGCTCCCTCTAGAGAAAATGTGTAAAATGTTTGCAAGTAAGGTGGCCTGTTCCTAGTGTCATGGCCCTGTAGGAAAAGATTACTTAACCCACTGGTGGAAGCTGTTCTCCTAAGAGGAAACTTGTCTGACTGATTTTGATGCAGGACTGGACCTTGTAACTGGAGTGAAGTCAACCTTTCTGATAAGTGCCCAAAATGAAGTCCACACAGACTTTTTTTGCTCTCCACAAGAAGTACCTGAGCAGTAAAACAAAAGAACAATCTTTAGTACTCACTGATTCTAAACTGTTAACTTTCTCTGGGTGAAGAGATCTTTGCAAGCCTTGAAAACATTTGCAATTCAACTCTGACAATGTTTTGGCAGTAGATGATCTCTTCTTTATGTGGGCTTCCTTGCATCTTTTCCATACTTATCTGGCCTGTAATCCAACCATTAGCTAGAGCCAAAGGGCTCCCCTTCCAGCTCGCAAGTTGGCTCAATCCTCTCTATCTTGCTGTAGCAACTCCTTCAGTCCCCACAACAAAAGGAAAGGGGCGGCTACCTTGGCCCACTAGTCTTACAAGTTGAGGACCCTCTTTAAAGTTAGTGTTGTGCAATCATGCTCATAGCATATCTTTCCACTTCCATGTTGGGAAAGGAAAGCAGTGAAAGCAGAATGTCTCCTCTGCCATCCAAGTTATCTGATTTCATGGGTACCTTGAAAAAGGATATTGAGCTCACCCTGGCCACATACGTGGGATTTTCATTACACCAAGTGTTCTTAAAATGGAACCTGTTGTCTTATTTCATTTATTAATTGGTTTTGTGCCTTTTAAAGATGTGGTACATTTCTAATTTATTAATAGTATTTTCAATTATGCCCATACTCATAACACCAAATATTTATATCATCCCGAGTAGATTGTAGAACACTTTCACAGATATTCTCTCATTTAATTCTTACAATATCCACTGATAGTAGGCAGGGTATGTGCTATTATCCCCAATCTATAGATGAGACTTGGATTAGGTAACTAGAGACTGGTCTTCTGACACTTAATCTAGGACTCTTTCCTCTATTTCACATTGTCCTTGTTGCTGTTCAGATCTTTATAATGTATATTTAAAACAGTTAAGAGCCTTCAAGATCTCTTTGACCATTTTGATGATTACCTTTGGTAGCATTTATTCCTTAACTAAAGTAAGACTGGCTTACCTGAGAATTGAGCTGTGCAAAGCCAGGTTTGGTCAGGCAGATGGTGACATGGCATGGACTAAGTGTCGGTAGTCATACATGGCAGTCATCTACCAAAATTACATGCATGCCTAGAAGTCTCCAAGCAGAAAATGTAAGGGGCAGGTTTTGTTCATTTGTTTATTTGTCTTTGGCTATGGAACCCATTTTGGTTAACTCAGCATTATCTTTGAAAGTTCCACCCTATAATAAACCCTGTTTGATATCTGGCTGTATCTCTTGCCTCTGTTTTCAGAGTATGCGTGTCTGTCTGTCTTTTATGATTCCCAAATATGTTGATGTTTTGGGAAAGGGCAATTTAAGGAGTTCATATTCATTCCCATCCACTTTGCCCACAGGGGGAACGGGCCCTTCATCAGATGCTGGCTGGGGATGTATGCTACGCTGTGGACAGATGATGCTGGCTCAGGCCCTTATCTGCAGACACTTGGGAAGAGGTGAGTTAAATTTGTTCTCTAACCTGCCTCAGAAACCTCTGCAGTCGCACTTCCTGCTGGTGGTTTAGCATTGGAGCTGAGCTTTAAGAACACTCAGTAACAGAGCTGCAGGGCCTAAAGTGCTCTCTGCAAGCTCAGGTGGTGGGGCCGACAAGTAGACAAAGCCTCTCCTGAGAAGGAAACAGCCGGCAATTTCCTTGTGACTCACCAAGCCAGAGAGTTATTTTCCTGGGACAGAATTGAACGTTGAGGCAGGGGTGTCATTTAGAGTTTCCATCTTCACTATTGTTCAAGTGAGTCCTTAATCATGTCAGATAACAAAGGGAGCAGGAAGAAGGGTGTGGTGGTAAGCCTGTTTCTTGACCTCATTTAAAATATCTGCCTGTGAAGGATGTAAGTGACCGAAAGGAAGTGCCTAATGAGGGGCTTGGCACTATTTTGGTTTGGGTTCACTGAAGATGTCCATTTGATGATGAAGGAATCCTTAAATTAGCTTCCTCAGGAGGCTGCTTCATTAAGACCCTTCCGGTAATCATTGTTGGAACTCTTGAGTGTTGCTTTCTTGAGATATATGCGTGCTTCCCTGTGGGCATCTGTAGGCTGACCTTGGCTAGATGCCAGTTCAAGCACTTGGGTGAAAGTCCCATTTGACTTGGGGATGAGGGAGTGAAAGGACACCTTGGATGAGATTGGGCTGCTAAACTCATTGGCTGTTGCTCCTTGAGCTTCACAGGTGTGGAAATGCCACTCCCTTTTCCCCACTGTGCAGTGTGACACATCCTGCTGCAGGTATCAGAGAGGCCTGGGGAAGGGTCTGGGGAGATTTTAGGGCTTAATGCCTTCTTTTCAGGATTTAGGATATCCTGTACCTGCTTCCCCTGGGTAGTATCATACTTTCTGTTTTATTGGATGAGGAAACTGAGGCTCAGGAAGTAAGGTGACTTGCCCAGGGTCAAACAGCAAGAAAGCATAGATTTGGGGATAGAGTGCAGGTCTTCTGACTCCTTGTCCAGTGATTTCTCTACTGTACACATACTTCTTGGAGCAGATCCATTCTTACTCTTTAACTTTTTCTCATTTATAAAACATTTCAAGATGATTCTTCTGGAAGTGAATTTTGTGGAAAGCAAACTGGGAAAAAAAAAAAAACAACCCAGTCAGCAGTCTCAATTGTTTTAATAAAAAAAACAAGTAGCAGGAAGAATTTGGAAATAGATCTTGTAGCTAAGATGAATTAGAAGGTGTAATTTTGTAAAGAGGTATTTTGGAGTGTTTCCTATTCAGTTATTTTACAGTCCAGGTGCGGTGTTCACTTATCACTGTCATTAATCAATATTAATGGTCCTCAGCAGCTAGCTAATCAGGATGTCCTGAAACTTGGACAATTCTGTACCTGATGCAGTTCACCCTCTGAAGACTGTGCTGGATACGAAGTTTAAAACTTTGGTTTCAGAAATACTAGAAGCAAAGAGAGTGGAAGACTCTGGAGATAATGGCCTTTGGCTTCAAGTGTATTTCAGTTGTGAATTCAAACTCTCTCTAAAACCTTGGGAGAGAAAGTTATGTCTTGGAAGCAAACTAAGCCTCAGAAATCTGTCCCATTAGACAGAGTTCCTAGAGCTGAGGGAATGGGCGTAGTGCATCCTGTCCAGAGTGGCGATTATGGAGAGTTTTTGCACTTGGCCTCAAGAAGCAATAAGTAGCCTCTGTAGGATTTGGGGGGCTGTGCCTAAGGCACAATTACAGATGTAATTATTTTGGTTTTGGTCATAAGGAAACCTTAAGCACCTGATAGCAAAGGTATTTGTTTTTCCAAAGCTCAGTGTGGACTTTTTAAAGGGTTGTGTAAAAATGGCAGCATGCATTTTTTTTAAGCTTCCTTAGTTGTGAGTTGTGTATATTTCCCTGTGAAATGTTGTGTGTCAGAATAGCACTTCTCCCCATGAGACTCTTTTGGGCAATGCTGCCAAAATATATGGACCAGAGCCGTTGCTGTGTACGTGGAGATGAGACACTTTGGCATCTGGGTGATAGACGGATCTACTGCTGGGTTTTGTGGTGACCTCCTGTTCACTGAGTAGCTGACCAGAAGGGCCTTTGTGACACTGTTTTCATTTAATATTTAACTAGCTTCAGCCCTTGGGCAAAGTCAATTCCTTGGTCAAGTTCTTGTTTTGCTTTTGCTTTATACCCACTGAGTCTTTGAAAGTAATCAGTTTCCAGATGTCTTTGTCATCAAAATTAAAGATACTTAGGAATGTTCTAACTTGATTGTTCCCGCCTTCTAGATGTAGCTTCTTTGTTTTCCATCTAGCCTCGTAGTTACAATAAGAGTGCAGAGAGGTAATAAACAGTTATAAAAATGATTTTAACTCACTTTTTTCCTAAAAAGACTGGAACTGGGAGAAACAAAAAGAACAACCCAAAGAATACCAACGGATCCTACAGTGCTTCTTAGATAGAAAAGACTGTTGCTACTCTATCCATCAAATGGGTAAGGTCACATCACAGTACAAAGGCAATGACTGTACCTGCTCCTCTGTCCTCTGCCTTATATGTGGCCCGGCTAAATTGTCCATCTGCTTATTTATTTATGCAAAAAGTTAGGAGTTTATGGTGTGCCAGAAGACCTTTTGCTAACGTGTTCGTTTTTTTCCACATAAAAACAGCACAAATGGGTGTGGGAGAAGGGAAATCAATTGGCGAATGGTTTGGACCAAATACAGTTGCACAGGTGTTAAAGTAAGTAAAAGAGTCTGGTATCTGCCTTATTCTGCTGTCTCCTATGCCTCCCTCCTCCACCAACTCAACCTAACTATTCTTGCCATCCCACTAAGCCACCCCTCCCACTAAGCCACCAAACACCTGTACCATTTTGCTCAGACAGTTCTTTGAAATGTGTAAGTGTGGACTGCTGTCTTGGTATATCAGAGTTGTAGTCATTGGTGCCAGTATATGTGGAGGCACCTCAGAACTCATTCAGTATCTCCCCTGCAGATTGGTGCTCATGTGCTGGGGAGCCAGCAGCACGAGAGTCACTTTGAAGCCAAAGGGTTCATACTAAGTGGGGGAGGCTGAGCCAGGCTAGGCAAGGCATGGACTCCCACCCTAGTATAAAAAAAACCCATTCATTCATTCAACATTTACTGGGTGCCCGTACTATGCTAAGTGCCGGGTGTACAGAAATGAACTAGACACAGTCCTTATCTCAAGGAACTCATCCCTTAATGGAGGAGACAAATCCGAAGGGTGTCTTGGAATCAGTCTGTCATCTCTTAGCAGACTCCAGGTGCCCCAGCATGGTACTTTTGTAGTTGTTCTGTTAAATCCCAGAATTCACCTCCACAGTGAGAGGCGAGGTGGAGAGGCCGGGACCAATGTTCTGGAAGTGAATGAGGTGAGTGGCATCAGCACCTACACCTGCAGGCCACCTCACCTGTTGTCACTCTCCTTCCTGACAACCTATCTTCGAATGAAAACTCCATGAAGGCAGAGATTATATTTGTCTTGTTCACTACTGTAACACTAGCACATGAAACTACCTGGCACACATAAGGGCTCAATAAATACTTGATGAATGAATGAAAATGGCAGCCAGAATCTGGGGCTGGATTTAGCCATCAGAAGACTGAAAACCATCTGGCTTCCTTTGGTGTAGCTGCTTTACTTCCTGGACTCTCTGGAGCATGATGGTAGGACCTGCTCCATGCAAAATACAGATGGGGCACTGTTTCGATTATTAGCCAACCTTCAATGAACTAGAATGCTTTGGAAATGTGCTTATGAGGGGAGTAGTCTGGATTTCCTGGGGACCCAAGCGAAACCTGTATCCTGGCTTTATTCCTTGCTAACAGTGCAGCCTCTCTGAGCCCACTTTCTTGCCTTAGTCTGTAGTGCATTTGGGGGCATCGTTGACTTTACTGAGTGAGGATCTGGCAGTATTTTGGGAAACACTCTAGGAACCCAGGGTAGAAAGTGTAAAAGATTAGAATGGCTCTGCTGAGCCCCAAACCCAGCTTGAAATAGTTGGTTTTTAAATGACGTTTCTCAGAATTTGCTTCTTTCTTATAAATTTTGAGGTTCCCAACAACAAATGAATGGAGATATACATTTTTAAAGAATTTAAGTGGGTTCTGATTCATCATGATTATTATCATTAACAACAGTATATTATTATTATTATGTCATTATTATTATTTTGGGGAAAGATAATACATTAAAATGAATGAAATAAAAGTGTAATGGTAATTAACCTTTTCTGGGGAGCTACTTCGGTTTGGGAGAGAATGTTTTTTCTTTTGTCCAGTGAGAGTGCACTTTACCCAAGGATCCCAGAGTAGCCAGGTTAAACATGTCTTCTTTCAAAGTGGCAAGAGGAGAAGAAGATAAGGGAGAAATTGGCATGGTACTTTACTCAGACATCAGATAATCTCTCTTTTAAAGGGGTTTTCTTTCTAATCTCCTCTGAAGTCATGCAATTCAGCATGCTTTCTCTTCAACTATTGACCAGCAAGGCTCCGCGCCAAGGCCATCTGCAGCCCAAGTCTCCCTAACAGCATTCTCAGCGCACATGAGGAGGGGTGTAAGAAATCCTCTCTCTCTCTCTCGATTTTCCTGGGGCTTATTGTCTGTATTATCTATGCTCCTAAACAAATATATATATTTTAGTGATGGTTTCCTTTTATTGAAAAAAGCAGTATGTCAGAATGTCTTTTATTTAAGAAAAGAAAACAAAATCTCTTGGGAGCAGTTGCACTGGTAACTTTTCTCTTTCACCCAACAGGAGTAGCGTCATTTTGTGAGGTAGATTTTTCCACAAAGTAGGCCCTACTTTTAGAGGTTCGGAAACAGTGACTATGGCATTCTCAAGGTCCCTAGACACAGAATGTTCCAGAGTGTAGTCAGAGGAGTCAGAGCTGACCTGAACCCCAGCTTCTCTGTGGCTCAGCATTCAGTGACTTCAGGAACACTGGGCGTAGACTATACTGCTTCCTGCTGATATTTCCATCTTCCCCATATGTGACTTCATTTTATGTTGCTTTGCAGAAAACTTGCTTTATTTGATGAATGGAATTCCTTGGCTGTTTATGTTTCAATGGATAACACAGTGGTCATTGAAGATATCAGTGAGTCCCCGGTCTGTTTATCTTCCCAGGTGGTGGGTGATGAGGTTTTTCCTCACCATTCAGAAAGCGGGGTAGAGAGAGAGAGAGAGAGAGACACACACACACACACACACACACACACACACACACACACCCACACACTCTCTGGCCTGCCCCACCAGAGTAGGGGAGCTTAGGGGAGCACAGGACTCTTGTTAATCACTCCCTGCACCCTTTTTTGTCTTCCCTTTCAGCTTTCTGAAAGGGAGCAAACAATTAGAGGATCTTTGCTGCTCCTCAGTGAGGTACCAGACCCTTTCCCTGAAGGACACCCCAAGTGTGGATAATCAGTTAAAGCAACAACAGGTCTTCTGTAGAGGCCCCCCACCCTTGTTCAGCCCTGTGCTCCCTGCCATAGAGTTAGAGAAACCAGAAGACACAGTCCCTGTCCCCAAAGCCCTTGCAGACTAGTTGAGAAATGAGATTCTCTCAATGAGTGCATAATATCTGACTGGAGGGAAGGTTGTGCTCAGTTGCCAGAAGGAAGAGAAGTGAGGGCTGCAGGACTGGCCTGGGCTTCCGCGGGAGGCGAGGCGAGCTGGGCCCTGGTGGCAGAGGGGAGGGCCTCCCAGGCAGGGGTGTCATGTGAGGTCTCCCTGAGTTTTGCCCTTGGCATATCTCCTAGGGCTGGATACCCCTTATTTACCCAGCTCTCTTGTCTTCTGTTTCTAGAAAAAATGTGCTGCATCCTTCCCTTGAGTGCTGACACAGCTGGTGAGAGCCCCCCCGGCTCTCTGAATGCTTTGAACCAGAGTAAGGGCACCTCTGCCTGCTGGCCAGCCTGGAAACCCCTGCTGCTCATTGTGCCCCTTCGCCTGGGCATAAACCAAATCAATCCTGTCTATGTTGACGCATTCAAAGTAAGTGGCACCTTTTCCTGAGCCCATTGCTGCCTGTCCATCACACCGCCATATGAGCACGGAGATCCGTGAGCAGCAGTCCACAAGTGAGTTGAGAATCTTGCATTCTCTTTCCCTCTAGGAGTGTTTTAAGATGCCACAGTCTTTAGGGGCATTAGGAGGAAAACCAAATAACGCCTATTATTTCATAGGATTCTTAGGTAAGGAAAGAGGCATCACAAGTAAGTCATCGTGGGCTAGGGGAAGGTGGGCAGAAGGTTTGCACGGGAGACCAGGCAATTCCAGCTAGGGGGCCCTCATCTAGCCTGGAGATGCGGTGGCCTCTGGTCAGCTCATTCTGTCTCCGGCCTATCTATGGAGAGTAACACTTGTGTGTGCCTGACAGAGAGCAGATCCCTCTTCAGCGCCTCCACTTCCTTGCCTGTTGATAAGATGGTTCCACAGCTGCTTTCCCACTGGACCACCCCAAGGTCATAGCATTGCTTCAGCATATCTTTCTCCTTCCTGTGGGGCCCAGGGCGATGGGGTTTCATTCCCCTGGCCGTGCCAATCTCCCTCTTATTGGGGCTCGGGCTTTCAGGCTAGGAGCCATCCTCTGGCTTCTCAGGCCCATGCAGCTGGGCCTGCTGGCTCGTTGTTCAGAGCCATGACTGGGTGGGAATTAGAGGAAGCCAAAACAGAGGTATCCCTTTTCTGATAATGGGGGCTAAGCCCTAAAACCACTAACCTCCTAATGCAGGTCTTAATGAGCAGCCCGGCATTCCCTGCCTGGGTTGACGTCTCTGGAAACCCGGCTACTTTATTCACTAGCTATGACCAGAGACATTTAAGGACCTTGGCAGACAAAGTGAGCTAGCCCAATGCTTCTCCAGCTTTCATGTGCACATGAATCACCTGGAGAGCCTATTAAAATGCAGGTTCAGCAGGTCTGAGGTGGGACCTGAGATTCTGCATTTCTGACTAGGTAGTGCTGATGCTGCTGGTGCACACACCATGTTTTGAGTACCAAGGGCCTAGACACCTGCTTAGTGCCAAAGAGCACGGATAAGGCAGTGATGCGCCTAGGGAAATCTGGTACAGGACGCTTCTTGCAAGAGTGGAATGGTCTGACACTGGGCTTTGAGGAAGTTTTGAGCTTAGATTGCAAGGGAGAGCCTTAGATAGGGGAGTGCCAGAACAGGTATGGGGAATAGCATGAGGGATGTGCAGAGGACAGGATGAGATAGGCTTGGTCACCCTCCCACCCATCTCCTCCTTGGAGATTCAGGGAGGTGAGGTGGGGTGGAAACAGATATACCTGGCCTTGTATGCCAGTCTCCCACTTGCTAGCTGTGTGACCACAGGAAAAGGGTATCAACTCTTTCAGTCTGAGGTTCCTCTTAGGGAAAATAGCACTAACGCCTGACTCCCCATGCTGTACCCTCACGGTGGAGCACTCAGTGGAGAGCCAGGCATGTGGTACGCACTCAGTAAAAGGTGACCCCACCCTGCCTGACCCCAACACCTCTTTCCTTTGCTCTTTCTTCCTCTCTTTAAGGCGGGGCTTTCTACACAGTTGCCTCAGCTCTCTCTAATGCTGCCATCTATTGGTCGAGCCTAAGAACTACAGCTTGATAGGAAATCTGGAAACTGGTGGCTTTTATTTTTCTAAGTACAAAACGCAGTATCTGGAGTTATATAAATTTAGATATACTATGTTTCTAAGATTTTGGTTTCCTGTCAAAGAAAATGTTGAAAAAACCTATTTCCTACTGTTTGTGCTTAAGGACAACAGATTGGAAAATAATTTTGGAGGGATCTCAGTGAATAGTGTATGTGATTCCTGGGCTTCCTGGCCTCCCTTATCCCAAGTTATCCAGAGAGAATTCGACAAGCTGGCATAGCCCTCCTGTTTCCTGAGGCCACTGGGCTGGGGTGAATTTTGTGGAGTTTGACTACTTATGAAAGAGGTGTGGGTAATCCTCAGTTCCCGTGACTGAGGTTCACATGGTGCCCACTTGCCCATGAACTTTCATAAGTCCTTTGTTTAACCTTCACATGAGGCTCCAAAGTCCACTCACCTCCCCTTTTCTGACTCACCCCCTTAATGTATGAGGTTCGGGGGTCTGGATTGGTAGAATGTCTGAAGGGAGGGAACAGATGAGAACTGCCATTTTCTGAACAGCTGTCCTGTGCGAGTGATTCTGCAAAGTGTTCTCTCTCAATCTCTCTCTCTGTATATATATGTATAACATATATACACGTATAGATAGATAAAGATATATAGATAGTTATATAGAGATATAGATAGATATAAAGATAGATAAATAGATAGATAGATAGATAGATAGATAGATAGATAGATAGATAGATATAGTTAGCACAACACCCCTGTGAGATTGAGATCTTTATTTCCATTTATACCTAGTGAAACTAAGATTTAGAGGGGTTGTCTCCTCAAAGGTCACCCAACTAAAAAGTAGTGAAGCCAGGATTCTATCTCAGTTTGGCCATCTCTGCCTACCACACCACATTGCTTCCCGGGTGTCCTCTTGCCCAGTGGGAAGCTGGGAGAAGCTCTCGGTGTTGGAGACTATGGCCAAGGTGAGACTCTGGCTGTCACGTTTTTCCTGCTTAGAGAGGAGATGTTTGTCCTCTGGGCTTTGGTGGAGGTTGCCACCTGAAGATCTATAGCATGAGCCCTGTGTCTGCAGATGGTTGACCAGCCTGCCTCTTCTCCTCAGGCCTCATTAGAGACCTTGGTTTAGTCCCCACATCATTTCTAGGACTTTTTAGATCTTCTGCTATATGTTTTTTAAGAACTCTGAGAAACAGGGTGGCCAGTAAAGCTCTACCACACACACACACACACACACACACACACACCCATGGAAAGATCCAGAACCAGAGAGGATGCTGTTGTTATTCCCAGCACCTTAACTTGAAACACTTTGACCGAATGCTCGGTGCTAAGCCTGCTTTGGGTTTCTCTTTTCTCGTGCACAACTTCCTTTTCCTCTTACCTTTCTATGGCCTTAGGTAGCCTTCCTTCTAAACATCCTGGTTGTTGCTCTTTGTTGTGACTTGAGGTTTTTTGATATAACTGACCTCACCCACCTGTGGTCTGGGGGAATATGTACCTTGACTTTCATAAAACAAGTCATATGGCGGCATTGTTCTCCAAATACTCCTAAACATATATTTGTAGGAAAATCCTTTTGAGTCTAAGCAAGATCCTTCTATAGCCACCTTGTATTTGTATCATGTTTTAAGCATTTCACAGTGGTGCAATCTTCTCATTCTTATAATACCCTGTGAGGTAATTGGAACAGGCCCCCTAGGTCTGTGATAGAGACAAATTAAGCTTTTCATCAGACATCAGAAACACATCCTTTGCCAACAGAAGCACTTAGATGTGCCCAGCACAATCCTGGATGCCATTCTGGGGAGGGTCTTCGGGGCATCCCTCCCTACTCCATTCTCCTGCTTGAGGCAGAGCTCTCTTTAGTTGCTTAACCCAGTGTAGAGCACAGAGGCCCAGATGGTCCTCAGGCCTAGACAGTGAGGTTGGGGTGCCCCTGTAGGTACTTCTGCCTCCTCAGCACACTGGTGATGAGCATTAGAAGGACTCGCAGCTTTTTGAAAATCAGATAAAAGTAGAGATTTTATTATCCTAAATTTCTCCCAGGTCATTTTTGGGCTAAGCTTTTTCAATTTATTGCAGCATGGCTTTTCTCTCATTTGTAAAGATCGATCATCTCAAAGTGAGTTTTCCCAGTGAGGTGTCTCTGTACTGAAGTTAATGTGACCAAGGCAGTGCTTTCTGACAGGAATTACTAACTTGCTAACAATGACTAACTTACTAGCTACTCAAGGTCAGAAGTCAGCTCCCTGGTATCTCATCCATAGCAGAGTCAGCATTCCCATTTCTTTCAGAGGCCAAGGCCTTTTTTCTTACCAGATGTGCTCTCTGACCATAGGTCTAAGAACCAATGGTCTGGAGCGAGATGCTTTCCAATGTTGAAAGAGGCAGGAAGCTCCCTAGTGGCACCTGGACTCAAAGACTGGTGATTCTACCTGCTTCCTCTTTGCTGCTGCTGCTCACAGAGCCTGCCATGTCATCTGTGGTCTCTCATTCCCACCTTTTCCCCAACCTGTCACTTTCCATTTTTGGACTTGGACTTTGAGGAGGTGTAAATGCTAGGGCAAGTCTTCTCATTGAATGATTAGATTTGGGTGCAGGTGGCTTCCTTCAAGCATGCTCACCCTACTTCAGGCTTTCTGTCATCTCATTCTCATTGTCACCAAGGGAGGGGTTAGGAAAACCAGAGCGCCTCCTCCCAAGGACAGCAGTGGGGTCAGGGCCAGTGGTTCTTCGAAGGTTAAGCATGTCTCGTCCAAAACAGGTGATGAGCTCATTTTCCTGGACCCTCACACAACCCAGACTTTTGTTGACACTGAAGAGAATGGAACGGTTGATGACCAGACTTTCCATTGTCTGCAATCCCCGCAGCGAATGAACATCCTGAACTTGGATCCTTCTGTAGCATTGGTGGGTATCTGAAGGTTGGGTGGGTCAAGAGATATGCCACCCTGCTATAGACTGGTTCCCTGGGAGTTATCCAGGTTGCTAGGTAGGGTGGCAGGAGTATATTCACTTACCATCCCCATGAGAGGTAGGGTAGTGTAGTGGGGAAGGAATGGACCCTGAAGCCAAACTGCTTTAGTTGGAATCCAGGCCCAGCCACTTAACTAGCTATAGACTTGGGGGGTGGGTCCCTTAACCTTTTTGAGCCTTGGTCTTCTCATCCCTAAAATGAGAAAAGCAAAAGTTCCTTCCTTGTAGGGTTGTGTGAGGTAGACTGTGCGTAAGGCACCTAGCACAGTGCTTGGCACGTTGTAATCATTCTATAAATGTTAGTTATTGTTACTGTTATCATCTTTCCCCCTTTTCTTTCTTGCCTTCTAATCATTGCCACATAGACACAGGGAATAATGTGGGACATAGCTAGGGAGGGGTAAGGGGGCAAGACCTCCTGGGTGGACAGTGCCCATTTCTCTGAACACACAATCCAGGAAGTTGCAGGGTTTTGGCCCGGAAGTATGACTGCTGTCTACACACATTGAAGGGGCAGCTGCCTGTGAAGCAGCCAGTGGTTCTGAGGCCTGTGTGCATCGTCTCTTCCAGTTTAACCCGATTGTCAGAGCACCAGGGACCGAGGGCTGACAGAGTCCTCCTCTTGTTTTGGACCATTATTTTACTACTGTAGGATGGCTCTGAGAATAGGAGAGGAGGCTGATGGTTCTCTTTATTCTAACAGATAATTTCCTGAAGGTCAAAGTCACCTTATTAAGTATTTCCTCTAGCTAAAAGTACTATTTGGCTTTTGTTTGCTGGTTTAATTGACTATTCTTTATAGATGTGTATATTTGTGCACTGAATGTAATGGAATTAATCCCACACTTTGGAGATTGGTCTTCAAGTTACTCTATCTCACAGTATAAGGGGAGAGGGACAAGGAGAGATAGGGACAGAGAAAAAGAGGGGAGAGAGAGAGAGAGAGAGAACGAATAAATGTGTGCGTCCAGGTGAGGCAATGAGCTAGGAGAGAGAGAAGCCCAGGCAATCTGCCCCCTTATTGCCGGAAGACACATCCAAAGAGAATGGCCCACATCATAGCTCTGGGCCAGCGGCTCCATCTTGCAATACAAAGGGCCTGCCTCGGTGCCCCTGACCATGGCTAAATTGTGTTCTTTTGCTTTCCCCCAAGGGATTTTTCTGCAAAGAAGAAAAAGACTTTGATAGCTGGTGTAGCCTTGTTCAGAAGGTAAAGATGTATGTTTTTCTTAGTCTTAAAAAGTGAAAATTATTCAATATGACTGCTTTTTAAGCTTGTTTTTCATAGTAACATAAACCTAGCCTGATAGGACTTTATTGCAAGAAAAAGAAACTAAGATACAGGGAATTGTGCGTAACTTTGGGAAAATCAAAGAAAAACTTTTGTTTGGAATATGCTTTGTATGTCAAGTGAGTGATATTTTTAGTTACTTAATGTTTCATCTCATTAAGCCTACAAGTCATATGAAATACTCAACTAATATTACACCATGCTAACTTAAAAATGCCAATTTCATATAGCTCAGCCTAAATTCTTCCTTAATCTGTGCATAACACTGAGATGATTGAGAAACTAAACTACTTTTCTATTTGTATGGTGGTCCATTTACAGTTTAATGTATTCCATTATGGTTTAGGGGGCTTTCCTTTCTATTAACTGTCTTATTTATATAAAATATAGGCATGCTGCCACTTACAGGAAACACAATTTGCAGAAATGTGTGTAAATACTAAAGCAAGTTATTCTTCTTCTTAGTATTTTATGTAAAAGGGTATTTATTGTTTTGCTGGCTTACCAATCCTTGTATCTGCCTCCCTTATCCTCCACATGCCAAATATGTGGAAGACATTGATAAACGCTTATTGAGAGAATGAAGCGAGGCACAGGGAGTAGTTTAAAGAGCCCTGGATGGGGTGGCAGGAGACATGATGTTTTCTCCTATCTGCAAAACAAAGAGATTGGAGAGATGGGAGCCCAGAGCCCCTTGTAGGTTGTAAAGAGCGAAGATTTTTTTTCACAAGTGAACAAACAATTAACACTAATGTCCCTAGCTGAATATGAAACCTCAGTTAATAATTAGCTGAGACATAATGGAGAATTATTTTCTGAAGGCAATACTTACATTTCAGAATGTAGCAAAACTGTATTTATATCACATTTAAAGTTAGAATGAAAATTTTCTGATAAGACTATGCTATTTAAATTAGGACATATACTATAAGTGTTAGACTAAAACTGAAACCATGTCAATATGTACCAATATTCTCTTGGGGCAGATTTAATTTGATTAACCAACATTTCTTTGGAGCCAACACTTCATGAACATCTCAGTCCTAAATTGAGTTGGGCCCGTGCAACTGGTATATGACTTGAACCTCATGATGGAGCATGGGCAGTGAGTACTGGCCTTCCATAAGATCCTCCCTCCAGTGTCCTTCCTTCCTGGCCAACAGTATCTAGAATTGAAGAGGGCTAGGTCTTCAGATGGGTCAAGTAGAGGATGGATGTATTCGCTAGGTCTTTGCTTTCACCTTTCAACAACCAGGCCACTCTCTTAGGGTTTGGGGTCGTAGATTGCCAATTGGACAGAAATGTAGTGACTCTGCAGTGTTTATAACTATGTCTGTGTCTCCTCAGGAAATTCTAAAGGAAAATTTAAGGATGTTTGAATTAGTTCAGAAACATCCATCACACTGGCCTCCCTTTGTTCCTCCAGCCAAGCCAGAAGTGACAACCACTGGGGCAGGTAAGCTGATGTTCAGGGGCTCTCAGCCAGCAGACCCACATGTAGCAATTGTTTTATGAGACAGAAGCAATTGTGGCTCATGCTTTCTGTGGAATGTAAAATTTCTATTCAGCTGGACTAATCAAGGAATGGTGCTGCTGATTATTTTAATCCTCTGATGAACTGATATTTGCCCATTTCAAAGAATGATAATAGCAGAAAATGAGCTCAGTGTAAAAGTTCTGTATAAAATCAAAATGACTAGAAGTTCTTTTCATGGTCTGGTTCAGAATAACAAATCAGAGGCCATGGGTGATTTGAAATGTTCCTCAAAGGTCTTACAGAGCCTCATCCTCCTCACTGTGAATATAGGACTATGTAACGAGTCTAGATTTTTGGTTCTTTATAGAGAATTTCTAATACTTAGCAGTGGTCCTATCTGTAAGTCTCCTCCACACAAGCTTTTCTTTAGCGAAACGATTAAAAAATGCATAGTCTTGGGGCCAGCCAGGTGGTGTAGTGGTTAAGTTCACGCACTCGGCTTCATCGGCCTGGGGTTTGCAGATTTGGATCCTGGGGGTGGACCTACACACCACTTATCAAGCCATGCTGTGGCAGGCGTCCCACATATAAAGTAGAGGAAGATGGGCACAGGTGTTAGCCCAGGGCCAATCTTCCTCAGCAAAAAGAGGAGTATTGGCAACGGATGTTAGCTCAGGGCTAATCTTCCTCACACACACACACACAAATGCATAGTCTGAACTACTGAGTAATGTATTGACCGCTTCAACCTAAGTGTCAAGCTCTTGTTCTTTCTCATTTCTGTATTCTGATAGAATTCATTGACTCTACTGAACAACTAGAGGAGTTTGACCTGGAGGAAGATTTCGAGATTCTGAGCATATAGAATAGTGGGAACTCAACTTGGAGGTCTGTCTTCCATCTGGCACCAGAAGAACATGAACTCATCACATAAAACTTTTCTAGTCAGCAAGTGCCTGATATGCCAACAGCACACAAACTTGATAGCAATCATGACTGAGCCAATCACCATTTCTCAGAAAAAACGAACAAACAACCCTTCCCCAGAAAGAACTAGAACAATCATGGAATCTAGGAGCAGAAAGATTATGTGTCGTCCCTTGCTTCCCAGCTTGTCTTACATGGCCACAGCAAGTCTTCAGCTACTGAAATGAGGAGGCGGACATCTGGAAGACAGACAGCAACTTCCACCTTGCTTCAAGCACCAGCAGATGAGAGATGGTTACCCTGCGCTTCTTCGCCCTGTCAGGTGTGACCTCTTTTGGGCTAAATACTAAGAAGCAGTCTGTTCTCTTGCTCTAATAATAAAGTGATTGCATCAGGGAGAAAAAGTTCTTGTTCAATTATTTGAATACGTATGTATTTTAAATAATTAAGATTTCTATCAAAAAGTTTGTCAAAGAAATTATGTCAAGTGTGCACGTGTTGATCTCCTTCCTATTTGGAGGAACCTTACTATTTGATAGGTCACTGTCCCCATCATTACTGATACTTTTGTGAGATGTCACCTTGTCCTTAAATCAAATCGGGATCACTTAAATCAGGGGTCAGCAAATGTTTTCTGTAAAGGGCCAGATAGTAAAGAGTTTAGGCTTTGCAGGCCACATGGCCTCTGTCACAGCTACTCAACTCTGCTGTTCAAGTGCAAAAGCAGCCATAGGCCGTATGCACACAAATGAGCCTGGCTGTAATCCAATAAAACTTTATTTACAAAAACAGGTGGAGGGCTGGGTTTGGCTGTCAGGCTGTAGTTTGCCAATCACTGGCTTAAATTGTTGATTTTTGTTTGGGAAATTAAAAATTGTATTTGAATTGGACTCCATTTTCTTTGACAGCCATAATTAGAAAGAATTATTAATGTGGTGACATTTAATCTGTACATTGAATACAATTCCAAACCATTTCAGGTCGAGCAACATACTCAATTTTAGAGTACATATTCATCAATTTGGCTTTGCTAACCATTCTTCTGTGTGGATGCGCCTCAGGTCCCAGCAGTGTCTTCCCATTTGCCTCTTTTTGCCTTCTTAACCTGTATGCATTTCACCTCCATCCTCAACCAAGTCCCGAGGAAGGCCAGCAACTTCGGTTTGAAAGCTAGCACCAAACCAAAGTGGGTTTTTTTGTATATTTAGGAATATTAGAACACTTGTTTCCTTAGATTCCATTTTTTCTTTTTTTCCAGCAGGTAATATATTCCAGTGGTTCAAAATTCAAAAGGTGCAAAATGGTATTCAGTGAAATGTCTCTCCCTCCCGCAGGTCAGTTTACTTCCCTGAACACTCCCAGTGTTATGAATTTCTTGTTTATCCTTCCAGAGGATATACTTTATGCATATACAAATATATGCATATATATCTTAGATTTGATTTTAATGACTTTAACATTTCTCTACTTTTGATTTATCTATAAATGATCCTAAGGCCCCAGAAGTATGGAAATTCCTTACTTGAACTCTAGCATGTGATGGGCTAAAAGCAGTTGTAGGCTTATCTTGAAACAGGTTGTGGATTTGTTGCCTGTTAGAGAGCTCTTTCTGTCCTTTGACTTTAATTGTATTTTTTCCTGCCTCAGTGTTGTGATATAAAGCTCAACTTGCAGTAACAGGAACCCCCAAGGCTCTGAGGGGGACTCACGTATTGTAGTGAGATGGACTTTAGAAAAGTTTTCATCAAAGTAAGTCGAAAGAGTCAAATGTTCATGTATTTAATTTTTTTATTTGCAATGTACAAAGCTGACACCATGCTTATTAGTCAGATAAGGAGGTGAAGGTAACAATAATTCAGATTATACTGATTATGCTTTTTCTGTGTTGGCACAGTTTACATAATTTTTAAGGAAACAGAATCACTCGGAAGGAATTGCCTCATGTCAACATACCTAAGTGTTCTAGGAGATTGATAATTAAAGGAAATGGTTAAAACAAATCCCCCCAAACAGAATACAGTACATTTTAAAGTCAACTCAAGCTTGCTTGAAGTCTGGTAACTGCTAAAGAGAGGAGTGTGCTAGATTTTTACGAGGTTTTAAAAACATATTAAAATAGTTTAACAGGCTACCTGTGAAAGAGTGATTGGATGGACATTTTAATGGAAAGTCTCTAAGAGCCTCAAAATAAAGGAACGAACACACTGCAGCTTCGACTTGCCACATTGCACACATCTGGATGGCGTTTGGAATAAACAGGGACTTCTGAGAAATTGGGACAAGGGATTTACCTTTTTATTCCTGGAGTCAAAAGCAAAATTCACACCTCCTTATCCATCCACCCCTCCACCCCTGGCCTGGGAGAAAGGGCCATGGTTCTCATTTCCCTTTATGGGCCTGGCCACATTTGGTGTATCCTCTGCTCTACTCTGGACCAGGTCAAGGCGTCTGCCTCTGGCTGGGGAGGGAGTCAGCAAGGAGAAAGAGATTTGTCTAGGACCCTGTGAAGTTAATGAGCCCCTCAGGACTGCTGGCCTTCAAGCCTCCCTAAGCAATATGGGGCCCAGTTGTGCTCACTCTTGAAGGAGTCAAAGCTCACCCCGGGCTACTGGCTGGCACCTCACTGTAGCTCTGCTGCCTGCCTGAACACAGTGGGCCCGTTGAAGAGTGAGAGCTTGCCCTATGCGGGCTTGAGCTATCTATGAATGTTTAGCCAGAGATTTTTTTTTTTTAATGTGGAAACACTGGGTTCTGGTTTAAGCCAAATAATGTGTGGTGACCTCTGCACATAAAGAAATGACTTATCATCAGCTACTATGAAGATCTTACTGATCAAAACAAAGCGGTCTAAGAAAGTGGTGGCACAGCAGGTCTGTCTGAGGTAGGTAGCCATGAATAGTCACGCAAACATCCGAATCAAACGGTAGCACCAGGTTGACTGAAATGGGACAGCAGATCTCAGCAGAGTAGGCTTACCCATTGGGCCTGAGGGTTGGGCTGACCAGTGTCCAGTAGTCCAGCCCAAATGAGACTCCAATGTACAACTTGACAGATGGGCAAAAGGGCTTAGGCCTTCCTTCTTCAGACTGTTCAGTTTGTGAGGTGACCATTGTGTGAGGGAGGGGAGGGCAAGTGGCAGAGTGGCAGGTGCCACCCTACAGGCTTTTCATACACACCTGGCAGCGGCTGACCCGGGTGTGGAGCTGCCCAGCTTTCAGTGTTTCAGATACAGGCTCTTCCCTAAACTGCTGCCTCTCCTCCACTGTCGTCAGCCAGAAACTGTACTTGTTGGCAAAGTAGTGGCAGGTGCCCCGGGCACCACTGCACTCGATGAAAGGAGTGGCCCGAAAATCCTCTAGGCAGGAGCCAGGTGAGACCAGGGACTGGCCTCCGCCCTCAGCGCCAGCGGCAGTGTGCTGAAACAGATGCGGTTGCTGTATGAGTTGTGTCCACCAGGGCTGCCATGGGAGAAGATGGGCACTCTGCTGCTCCAGAGGGGACGTGTGCTCCCTTCCTAAACTCTGCTCCCTTGGTTCAGCCCCAGTGTCTAGCCAGCATACCAAAAGCTGTATTTTAAGACCCAGGCTGCTCATCCTCCCTTGTAGTAGCCTCAGGGTCAGGAGCACCCCTCCAAGCTCCCTAGTGCCCTCCTAACCCACTGCACATGGGCAGTGGCTACATCTCAGCCAGTGTTTCCCAGACTGCTGCTGTCCCACTGAGTTCTGAGGTGTGTTAGGTGCCCCCCACCCCAATCTCCACGGACAATTAAGTCTGAGAAAGGCTAGATTAAGGAAAATTCAATAGGTTTTGGAATGCAGTTTTTCTCAGAGCCCTCTGTTTACTCCAAGCCCTCGGTGATGTGCTCCAAGAAAGGAAAGAGCGTGCAATACTTGACAAAGTGGTTAACCAGGGGCCCCCTCCTCCAGCATATCTATTAATAGCTCTTACTCTGAAGTTACCTTCATTAGACCTTCCTATATTTTCAGTCTGTAACATACCATTTAGGGCCACATATCGTGTTTGTTACCTGCAGAGTACAAGTGGGCCTCCTATTTGGCCTGACGTCCTGGCCCTAACTTCAGAGGGCTGGCTCCCTTAGCACACGATTTCAGCATCTCCCCATCGGTGCCATGCATGAGCCCATAGTCTCCAGTCACTGTACACGTAGATGGCCGCCCCCCTCTCTCCCCACTCCTTTCACCTCAGCTGGGTTATTATCTGGACCAGAGGAGGTGGGTAGAGGCCTCATACACACCTGGGCCAGCAAACGGCCAATGGGACAAATGCCCGAGTTGGACGCGTGGGGATGCCTTACTTGGCAGAACTTCGGGAGAGTGAGTCTCCATATAAGTGACCTTTCCTGATAAATGAAGCATCAAAGTTTTCCTCATTTTGATCCTCAGATAGAAAACTTTCTAGAACAAGTGATACATTTCCCTGCCTTACTGAATAGCAGACACTATGTGTTTTACACTTTGCAGATGACCCAGGCTTGTTGTGAATGTTGGTTTTTGTGTTGGGTGATTGTGCAGGGGCCCCAAACCAAGGGGCGCAGCTTGTAGAGTTCTTGAGCCGTCTTTGACTCATTTTCTCCTTTTTAGTAGGCAAACCTCATTGCTTCAAGATGCCTTACTAGGCAATCCAAATTCCCGCCCTTACATGTTTTCAGGAAAATATAGGTATTCTAGTATGTTAGGGTTATGTATAAAGTAAGAGTTAGGGTTATGTATAAAGTAAGAAAGAGTAAAGAGATTCTGAGTAAGGGCTTAAGAGTGCTCCCATGAGCAAAGCACATGAGATTTCATACATAGCTTTTGCACCATTCGTTGTGGAAGCTCAGGGGCCTTTTCTCCTTATTTCCTGGTCTGGGTGGTGGACAGGACAGAATGATAGGTGAGGTGATTCTATATTACATTGGGATAAACTGCCCAATTCACAAAGACAGAGCAAAACAAGGAAGTACCTCAGCCCAGGTAGGTACACTAATGTGAGGAAGCTTGTGGCTTTGGTAATGCTTGAAAGACACTCTCTCACCATCTTGCCCCTGGTAATTCAGCAAAGAAGCTCTGGCGAGGCAGGGTACTTCAGTGGGTGCCACATTGGTTTTTCCCTGGGAGTTATCCTGCTCCTAAACCTCACCTGTCACTCATTTAATGTCCCCAGATATTCACAGAATGTGGTTGGAGGGACTTGATGCCTCCCTGGGCTTAGAGACGTTCTCAGATCTTTCTTAGCAAGACACACAGCCTGGCTAGCCATTGCTTTCCCACTGAAATGAAAAAGCCACAAAAATACCAGCAACAACATAGAAACACAGCCTGCCCTCATCTGAGCCTTTTGGGAAGAGATGGCAGCGGCTAGAGGGGCCTGGGAAGGTGCACAGAAGAGAGATGAGTGCCATTCCCAGCCTGACTAGTGAGAGAGTGTCCCAGCCCTGAGTGGGGACAGCTTCTCCCTCACTGTCCACTCAGACCAGGTGTTTCCTCCTTCTCTTGCTTGTGGCATAACTGAAGCAGGCAGAGAGACGTCAGGGCCTTTGCCGGTGATTCATAAAGATTCTCACCCCTGAACCACTGGGTGCAAACTGCTCC